AACCCCTCCCCGCCCCCCCCCCCGGTCGCTGCCGGCTTAAATAAAACGCGAAGCTATCTCTCGACATTCATTACCGAGTTTCGTTAGTCACAGTATCCTCCATATTCATGGTAACAAGCGCGCGCGTATCTGACGAGGCCCGCAAGGTAACAGCGAAATTTCCATGTACAATTGTAGAGATAGTACGTTTTGGTAACTGCTATTCTATTTATTACCGAACAGCGGCGCGCACGAAATACAATACGAAAAGACGTCGAGGCGATGCGCGATAATCCTCGAGAGATCGTGCGTCGAAGCCGTAAACCGTGTTCGTATAAGCCGTATTATATTTATAATATAATTCCGTACCGTGAACCGTAATCGTGAGATCGTGGTCGCAGCCGTGTTCGTAAATCGCAATCGCGATCGCGATCGTATTCGTAATCGTATTCGTGAACCGCGTGTCGACGTTCGCCGCGTTCTGCCCGCGTGCCCTGCGAGCGCGGCGTCCTTTTATCGGTGCGCCGGTCACGTCGGTCACGCCGGTTGCGAGTCGGTTCCCTTCGGGAATTCGGCGGTTCCGTTCGAGCAGCGTCTAAACGGCCGCCGATCGACCCAGCAGCGCCGACGTTTAGATCGCGCGGCGCTCTCGCGCATGCGCGCACACGTAGAGAGATGCGAGATGACGCACGGGAGTGCGCGCGGCACTGTGATCGGTTCTGTGATTTCGGAGGCCGCGCCGGAGTCGCGGTGCGTCCGCGGATGTTCCGGAATCGCGGCGCATGCGCGAATCGCGCCGGAATCGTGGCGCGTCCGTGGATGCTCTGGAATCGTGGCGCGTCCGCGGATGCTCTGGAATCGTGGCGCGTCCGCGGATGCTCTGGAATCGCGGCGCGTCCACAAATGCTCCGAAATCGCGACGCATCCTTGAATAGCGACGCGTTCGCGAATCGCGCCGGAATCGCGGCGCGTTCACAAATGCTCCGAAGTCGCGACGCATCCGCGAATCGCGCCGGAATCGCGACGCGTTCGCGAATCGCGTCGAAATCGTGGCGCGTTCACAAATGCTCCGAAATCGCGGCGCGTCCACAAATGCTCCGAAATTGCGGCGCGTCAACAAATGCTTCGAAATTGCGGCGCATCGACAAATACTCCGAAATCGCGGCGCGTCCACAAATACTCCGAAATCGCAACGCGTCCGCGGATGCTCCGGTCGTCGACCTTCGCGGCTCCCATACGATGCGCTTTCAAGTTTCGCGAATCCGTCAAAGGTTCGCGGCGCGCCGCGGAATTACCATGAACGGTCGCAGTCCGCGAGATTTATAGTTTCCGCGATGCTCGTTCCGCTCGAAACTTGACCGGATCTCTTGGCGCGTGAAAAAAAAAATGTACCGACGGTTTCGAGCTTATGAAAATTTAACGACCACGCGCGGGCGCGCGAAAGGAACTGTACGTGCACATGTGTCGCACGGATGATGGTGACTCGTTTGCATAAAAGTCGGAGAACAGGCGACGCTTCGTTCGTTCGTTCGTTCGGTGTGAAATGCTTTTGTCTTTCCGCTGCGAAACAAATGCAAATGAATACAAACGGCGAAGCAATAATCGTCGGGCAGTAAATCTTTTCGCGCGAATTTGGCGAATACTGTTTTTTTTCCAGGACTTCAAAGACGGAGACATAGGGGCATAGCGAGCATTGTCCTTGAACGTTTATTCGTAAAATTGAGATTTTACAAAGCGTTTATTGAAGCCTGCAGTGACCGAATCTAAAACTGATCTAAATTTAGCCTAAAGAACTTCTACGTTTCTCAACGAAAAAGATTGAGAAAACTGATCTAAATTTAAGTTAAAAAACCTTTACATTTCTCGACGAAAGGTTTGTTAACCCGAACAAATAAAATCGAACGTAATTACCTAAAAGTGTTCCAAAGGGTTGTTCTTATTTAGAAATCGACGAACGATCGTCGAACGATTCAACGTACGTGCAATTTCTTTCCCTGGAAGCGTACGCGATCTACGGCTCGGCTGTATTTAACAGCGAGCTTTTTATGGATTATTCGAGGATAGCAACGCGACGTGTGGCCGAGGCCATCAGATTTCTAGGGAAAATCAGAAACGTTGCTCGTACGTGTTCCGCGTGGCAAAGATCATGAATTATATATATATATATATATACGTGTGTATACATATATACGCGCGTGCGTGTGGCCGTTCGAGCCACGGTGGACGGAAATTTCATCTGATTGCGCGATGGAAACAGGTGTAATTGTTCGCCGAGCTTCGTTCTTAATGAGTTATTACAACGTTTAACGGTGGAAAGGTGCCGCTCTCTCTCTCTCTCTCTCTCTCTCTAGCGCTCTGTCTCTCTCGCTCTCTCTCTCTCTGGCGCTCTCTCTCTCGCGCTCTCTCACTCGTTCTCTCTCTAGTGCTCTGTCTCTCGTGCTCTCTCTCTCTCTCGCTCTCTCTCGCTCTCTCTCTCTCTCTCTCTGGCGCTCTCTCTCTCGCGCTCTCTCTCTCGCGCTCTCTCACTCGCGCGCTCTCTCTCTTTTTGTGCACAATCCGAGCGCAAATCAGGGAGAAATCACTGAACACGCGCGTCCTCTCTCTTTCTCCCTTCCTCTCTCTCTCTCTCTCTCTCTCTCTCTCTCGCTCTCTCTCTCTCTCTCTCTCTCTCAAGCCTCGATAAAACGAAACTAAACGAAACGAAACGAGAACAAGAAACAAGTGTGAATTTTCCATCCGACGACACCGATTAGTTTTGCTCGCGCGCGTTAGCCAGATAGCAGCGCGAACCGACCCCCACCGATGCCATAAATCGGGCGACGATTATTACGAGAAAACGCTGGTAATTATGTCGAAGGCTTTCTGCCGGGCAGATAACGTAAAAGTACTTATTACGGAACGCTTTTCTGGGGATGCGGGGAGGAGGCGAGGGTGTACAAGATTATCGTCGATTTTATTGCTACTGGAAAGCGTACTTGAATATTTCTACTGCTTTTCGATAAATCGACGTTTCTAGATAACTCATAACGAATTTTCGAGCAGCTATTCTTTTCTTTTTTCGTACTCGAGACTACTTTAACCCTTTGCACTTGAAACCATTTCAACAGTCGATCTAAAATAATTCTTCCGGCTTACTTAGTATTCCCGTTTTATACGACAAAGTGCATTTTATGCATACGAAATTGCGTCTCGCGATTCGTGCAACAGCTACGCTTTTAATAATATTTCTAATCTAAACTTCGATAATATAAGAATGATCTTACAACGTGACGCAACAATTTAACCGGTGTCTCGGAGTCACCGCTCGAGCGCAAAGGGTTAAATTCCCAATTTTTGGTCGCGCGAACAAATATACCTCCAAAGTCGAGAATCTCTGAAAGATCGAATCTTCTCGCCGAACATTTTCGGCGCGTTAAATCGAAAATTCGCGGTCCGTTTTTGGCGCGTTCGACGCTGGATTTACGGGTCCCGTCAAAATGGCGCGTCGCTAAATCTTTTCATTTAACTCTCGTTCGTATCGTAAAGATACGTTTACGAGTTGTTCGTTCAATTTATATGTTATCTACGGCGAATTTTACGATAACACTTGTTAAAAATCAGAATATATGTCTCGTTGTCTCTAGTTTATAAAACTAGTATAAAACAGCTGATTTTTATGCTCCGTAAATCTAGCGTTAAATTCGGGGAAACGAACAATAAATCGAATTCATCGTTAATAACATTTGTTAAAAATCAGAATAAATGTCTTCTCGTCTCTAGTTTATAAAACTAGTATAAAACAGCTGTTTTTGCGCTCCGTAAATCTAGCGTTAAATTCGGGGAAACGAACAATAAATCGAATTTATCGTTAATAACACTTGTTTTGTG